TCCGCTCAGCGCCCGCCGGCGGCGGGGACACCTCGCTGGAGTCGGACAGGGGCAGAGGGAAAGGGAGGTGCGGCGCGGGTGCCCCGAGGGAGGGGATAGCCGCTGCCTCTCTCAAACGCTGCTCAGGGCGGCAGAGTTAAACGAGGGGCGAGGAAGGTCATGGTTAGACTGGAGAACCTGCGTCGCCGTACGAAACCTCCTGATCTCTGCGCTCCATTCATCTCGGCAGAGCTCGGGAGAGGAGAAGTGGTTTGATTATGGCGTGTTAGCTTTTACTCGGGAGGATTTGTCATACTTCTTTAATCTACCAGTAAGGACCGAAAGGACTGAAGCAGAGGGCAGCCAAATTCAGGCTGGGAGCAATAAAACATCATTGGCTTACCACCAGGGTACTGAAACGTCGATATATAAAGCTCTACTGGATCTTGGATCTCTTGAAATTTCATCTTTACAGTGGATGACTTCCTAATATAAACCACATATAAGTAATTTTTATATCTGTTTGATTTGGGTTATGGAGAAAATTCTGGGGTCTTTATTGCTGTGAAGAGCAACCTAAATGAGAACAGAACAAGTGATTAGAATAGTAGACCCGTGTATTCAAATATATGATTATTAATTACTTAATTTCTGGTTCACTGCAAATTAAGAGTATCTCTTCAGCCTTATTCTCCCCTTCTTGTGCATCCACCGTGAGCACTGAACAAGACAAGACTCTTGAAAACGTTGTATTTGTTAAGTGTAATTCAAAGACATTCATAATGCACACACACATTACCTTCTATGAAGAAAGCTTGCACACCAAACTGCATTTCATATTTTCTGACTCAAAATGCTTGATTGAATTACACAATCCCTAGGTTGGAAGAGACATCCAAGATCAAGTCCAACCCAGCCCTAACACCTCAACTAAACCATGGCACTGAGTGCCACATCCAATCTTTTTTTAAACACATCCAGGGATGGTGACTCCACCACTTCCCTGGCCAGACCATTCCAGTACAAAGGGTACTTTTTTAGGGAAAGTACCCTTTCCCTAAAAACTTTTTCCTAATATCCAAGCTCTATTTCCCTTGGCACAGCTTAAGACCATGTCCTCTTGTTCTGTCAGTTCCTGCCTGGAGAAAGAGATCGACCCCACCTGACCACAGCCACCTTTCAGGGAGTTGTAGAGAGTGATGAGGTCACCTCTGAGTCTCCTTTTCTCCAGAGTAAACAACCCCAGCTCCCTCAGCCGTTCCTCACAGGGTTTGTGTTCCCAGCCCCTCACCAGCCTCGTTGCCTCCTCTGGATGTGCTCAAGGGTCTCAACGTCCTTCCCAAACTGAGGGCCCAGAACTGGACACAGCACTCCAGGTGTGGCCTCACCAGTGCCCAGTACAGGGGGAGAATGACCTCCCTGCTCCTGCTGGCCACACCATTCCTGATCCAGGCCAGGGGCCAGTGGCCTTCCTGGCCCCCAGGGCACACTGCTGGCTCATGCTCAGCTGCTGTCACCAGCAGCCCCAGGTCCCTTTCTGCCTGGGCACTGTCCAGCCACACCATCCCAGCCTGTGACACTGCACAGGGTTATTGTGGCCAAAATGCAGCACTCAGCACTTGGACCTATTAAACTTCATCCCATTGGATTCCACCCATCCACCCAACAGTTCCAGGTCTCTCTGCAGAGCCCTCCTACCTTCCAACAGATCAGCACGTGCTCCCAGCTTAGTGTCATCTGCAAATTTACTAATGAAGGACTCAATTCCCTCATCCATGTCATCAATAAAGATATTGAACAGCTCTGAACCCAGCACAGAGTGCTCCTGTCCAAGCCTGGGCTGCAGCTTTTCCAGGGAATGT